TGAAACTGAAACTAATGGAAATTGCATACGTTCGTTTGCGTTTTCAGGTATTTCGTAGCCTCCGTTTTCCATTTCTCGCTGCCAACTCAGTAGCTCCTTCTTCAAGGATAAGAAGAAAATAAAACAGTAAACCGTCAGAAGCGAAGAAAAGTTCACAAAAGAAGAAAGCAAACCTAATTCTGTGCTCTAGGGCTAGGCGTCGGTTGGTTTTTTTATCCAAACCCAAACCCAGCCCAACCTAACCTAATCCATGATATATTTAATCTAAAATCAAATCAATCCAACTCAATTATTAGTTTAAACCCAACTGATCAAGCTTGGATTAGGTTGATATAATCGGATTATTTTTGTGAAAATTACACAATACTATACTTTAAGTATTCAACATTCTAAAATCATATGGAAACTTTAATATTTCAAAAATCAGAAAAAAAAATACATTAATTATTTAATTTATAAACTAACCCTAACCCCCATCCACCCCTAAATAATTTCCCCCCAAACCATTCCATCTCTACATCTCGCGCTATAATCTCTCTCGCCTATGAAGAATGGGCGGAGTTGGCGTCTCTGTGGGCGAAGTTGGCATCTCTGTGGGCGAAGTTGGCGTTGCACCTCTATTGGCATCGCACTTCTGCTGTGGTTTCGGGAAGACGATGGTGTTGGTGACGCGACTGTGGTGATGTGGGCAGCTCTATTAGGTTTTGTGAACGAGGTGCTGCTGATGGTTGTGAGGCAGTGCTGGCGTAGTCGAATTTATGGTTTTGGATCTGTGGCGCCATTGATGGTTGTGAGGCAATGTTGGCATGGCGATGAGATGGTGCCGGATTTGTGGTTTTGGATCAGTGGTTGTCGGTGGGGTTCGTGGTTAGGTATGGTTGGATTTGAGTTTTGGTGGTTGCCACTGTCATTGGTGGTGCGGTGCGATGTGTTTGGTGGGTGAGTGGTGATGTGCAGTGGTGCTGGGAACGATGGTTGCGATTGTAGTGGCGGTGGCGGCGTGGTAAATTTGTGGAGTTCTGTGGTTAGTCTGCCATGATGGTGAGATGTGGTAAGGATGGTTATGGTGTTGCGGCGGCGACAATGGTGTTGGTGTGGCGGGGTGGCGGCGATGGCGTTGATAATTTTGGAGTTGATTTTTTGTTTGAGACTATAGCGTTGTTGTTGGTGATGGTGCTGGTGGTTCAGGCGATGGTGTTGTTGAAGGAAGTGGTGGTTTGGTGGTGGTCACATATTATTTGATTGATCCTTACCATTAAATTGGTTAACCTGTTATCAATAAACAATATTTGACCACTAAAAATGATAAATTATGACTGAGAATAGTGTGTGACCTAAAAACTAATAATATGTAACTCATAATATTTGTGATCTGCGACTTATGTGACCAACAAACAAATCGCGACCTACGAAAATTTTGAATTGTGACCTTAAAAAATCTTCATTTGCGATCGAAAAATAATTTGTGACTTATAAAATTTTTGATTTGTGATCAATAAATTGATAAGTGTGACTAAAAATTTATTCGTGACTAAAATTAATAAATAATACGTGACCTAAAAATTATGTTTTTAACTTATAATTTATTGAGTTGTGACCGAAAAATTAATCTGTGACCTATAAAATTTTTTATTCGTGATCAAAAAATAATATGTGGCCTATAAAATTTTTAATTTGTGATCGAAAAATAAGTTGTGACTAATAATATGATAAGTCGTGACTAATTATTTTTGGATTTGTGACCCATAAACAAATTATGACTTACAAAATTTTTGAATTGTGATTGTAAAAAAATTTGTGGCATAAAATTTTTGATTTGTGATAAAAAAAATAATAAGTAACTAATTATATTGTTAATTTGTAACCAAATTGTATAGATCCGTGACCTAAATATATTTAATTAATAAAATAATTAATTAACTAATTAAATTATAAATAATTTTAATAAAAATCTGATTTTAGAAATTTGAAACTTGTTTTCTTGTTTTTGAAATGTACCATAATTAATTTCTTAGTTATGAAATTTTCCCATTATTTTTTGCTGAATTTGAACAATATTTAAAGTTCGAAATCAATTGATAATTTTCGTTATTTTTAATTTATATAATGAATCTTTTTCTAAAAATTATAAGCCCCTGTTTGATCCCCATTAAATTAAATTACATTACATTTCATTTTTCTCTCTTCTATTTTCAACCACACAATCTTCTATAAAATAATATTACAATAAATCGAAAACTTTTCCTTCTTTTTCAACCACTCATTTTTCTAAAAAATACTATTCCCTCCATTTTCATTTTCAGGTAATGGGAATCAAACAGGGGCTAAATAAGTTTGAAACTATGGAACATTTTACTTTTATAATTTTTTTTTAGGATTTATTTATTTCAAGCCTATATAAAAAAGGACGTTTGTACATTCTAAATCCTTCTCATCTCCACTATTGTATCTATTTAAGTTTTTCTATTTTAGGTATTATTTTTTAACTCATCAAATTCGATTGAATTGAATTTTAATTCATAATCTGGGACTCAACCCAACTTAGCCTCAAATATAATTTTCCAACCAACCCGAACTTAAAAAACAATCCAAACCAATAGTTAGGATTGGGTTGGTCAATTTGAGCGATTTGGGTTGGTTTTTGGTCAGGTCTATAGAGAGAAGGCGATATTTGAACTCCATTGATATCCCAAGTACTTCTTTGTCAACAAGAAAAACTGTGTTAACTTCATTTTTGGTCCCTGAACTTTCAGTGAAATTTCAATTGGGGTCATCCAACTGTAATTTGGAATTTGTGGAATTAAATTTATTTCCAGTGTAACCTGGTTACTAAACTTGAAAGTCGTTTCATTTGACCACATGAGGAAACTTGCGTTCGAAATAGTTAAACCTATATTGGTCTTTTACTAACATATAATATATGTGCTATTTATTAATTTACCAATAACATTTTGATTTCTCTTGTTCACGATAGTGAAAGCAATTGGTAGAAAGGTTAAAACAGAAAAAAGAGTGAATGAATTGACCTTACTATTATTTAAGAATGGAATGAAAAATTATAATTTACATTGAAGATTTTAAATTTACTTGGAAGAGTTCTCAATTTGTTGTTATTGTTTTTGTCTGTAAATATAAAAATGTTTTTTTTTTTTTTTTAATTTCTGAAACTCTCAACGTTAATCACAGGGTGTCATCAATCTTCTCTTTACTAATGTGGGAATACCCTTAATACTTGAAATCAAGGAATGGAGCCTCTTGAACTTGAGGCCTCAGAAGATATCCTTGGATGGAAAGACTGGCCAGGGGAGAAACCGCTAGAGCCAAGGGAGGTAAGCTTCCCATGCCGCTCGGCCTGTGGCCGCCACTCTTGCCACGACTACAGGCATAGTTTCAAATAAGAAAAAATACTGCTTTTAAACCAAGCAAGATTAGAAAAGTAAACTCGAAACCATCTAGCCATCCAAATACTTGGATTTTTATTAGCTTTCGATACATAATTCATTGTGCGAGAGCTCTTATTTGTAGCATGCATGAAATATTCTTGATCTCAATCTCTGCAATGAAAGTAAAACTAACCGAGAAAATAAATTGTTGAGGAAATTACAATAATACAACATAGATGCATTATCACACGACCGCGCTTGGATCATAGTCGTGGAGGAACTTCATTTATAAGGATGGAGGTATCCATATATAGTCATGAGTTTGAACATAACCTGCCCTTTCTAACAATTCATCTGCTTCTACAGGCCCTCTACTTCCCATCTTGTATGGAATTGGCTTAAACTCTCCATCGTCGATTCGGTGTAGAAGGGGTGTAAAAATCTCCCATGCAGCCTGAAGATTGAGACGATTGAAATCATCAATAACGGTGATGAAAAATGAGGGTAGAAATACAATATTAGTATGTATTATGACAATACCTTCAGCTCGTCTCTACGAACAAAATGCTGCTGATCACCTTTTATTCTGTATTTGAAAAAAAAACACACACACAAATCTTGTAATTATNGCTCGTCTCTACGAACAAAATGCTGCTGATCACCTTTTATTCTGTATTTGAAAAAAAAACACACACACAAATCTTGTAATTATATAATAAGAAACACAAAATCAAGCAGATTTACTAAACATAATCCTACGTGTCGAGAATAAGACGTTCATAAGCCTCTGGAATGACAACCCCTTGGTAACGTTGTGTGTAAGACAAGTCTAGTTCACTCTGAGCAGTTGACATCTCCAGGCCGGGCTGCTTGACCTGTAGAGAGAGATCAGACCAAGTCGAAAATGGAGGAGGATCATGGACTCGATGGGACCGATTCATTCACTAAATAAGCATAACTACTGGTATACTAGCTGGATTTCAAGCATCAATTACCACTTACGTGCACCTGAAGACAAGATACATCTAGATAAACAAGAAAGAGGAGAGATTTGTTTACTATGACCGCCATAAAGGTCATATTATCGTATTAAATTTCATGAACACTTTGTTATTGCATAAAACAGACTACAACAATTTCAAAATCCACCATAACCAGCCTAGCTACTAACTTATGAAAAAATTAACAGAATTACTCTTACCGTAAGTTTCATGTACATGGCCTCTGAAGGTTGCAGACGTATTACAAATTCATTTCTTCCTTGTTTTTGACCTAAACAAGTTATATCTCATCAGGATTTATCCACAAATCAGGAGATTGACCGAAAATATTCTCTTACCAATTAAAATGATAAATTCAGAAAAATAATCCAAAAACAGAGTACATGGTTTGATGTACATTTAAATATGTCGCCAGGAACGTCCTTAAACTGAACACGTATTTCTGCCTTCCTCGAATTTAGCGCTTTCCCTGCCTTGAGTATGAAGGGCACACCTACAGCAAGTAGTTGTAGGTAATTACAACTTAGAAACACAGGATAATATAGGACGTACTTCCAATTAAACTACATAAAATGTTTCCAGCTTTAGAGTTCCAAGCTCTCATCCTCAATAGAAAAAAAATTTGAATGTAGATTTAGATGACATAGGTAAACTAGTATGCATGTTATTTCACCTTCCCATCTTTCATTGTGTATACGCAGAATCATTGTTGCAAA